AAATCATCTAACTCAGCCCATTTCCTGCAGTGAGTAAATCTTTTAGAACAGAAGTTACCTAAAAGGTAAGTCTGAAGGCCAGCCAGTAGCAACAGCTAAACACTGTGCAGAGGGAGGTGGACCATGATTGAAGTCCTGCTCCAGCAACCTGAAAAAAAACATGCAGGTAACATGTGCGTGCATGACCCAACCCTGATTGGAACCAAGCCCCATAGGGGGTCTCTCTCTCTCTCTCTCTCTCTCTCATATGCATCTACACATATCCTGTGGCATTAAAAAAAATTAAGTCTCGAGTGATGAAGAAAAAGAATAGGTCAGCGGACAGTGTACGTTTTGTCTGATAGCCACCTCCTATCCCAGACTTTCTGTTTCGTCCTTTAACTTCCCCATCTCCCCTTACTCTGGGGACACAGGCCTATTCTCTGTGAGATATGAAGTAGGGAGACTATTAAAAGAGTTTGCAGGGATGTGGCATTTCCCAGGAAGCCTTTCATTAGACATATAGGAGCCAAGATGAGGACCTGGATGAATGTTGGCAAAGGAGAACAACACTCAAGTATATGGGGTCATGCGGAGACATTTTTTAGATCCAGAGGACTAAGACAATACTGTTAGGCTTATGTTCATAGGAAGGTCTCAGCGACTTTGAGGTCCTTGCTGTGGAAGGTGAGGAGGTGGGAGAGGGTAGAGCCTATGGCTCTAACGGGTGTCAAGCGGAGAACACTCTCTGAGATGAACCACCCCAGAACAGAGGGGGGAGCCAGAGATACAGCCCTGCCTTCAGCTGTGCAGGGGTTCTTTTCCTTGGTTGTACATCAGATGGCGTTCATTTCCTCCTAGGGCATCTCCGGAACTTGAGAGACTTCCTGAGGCTGTTACCTTTGCGCCATCAGCAGCCTCAGTGCAATAGAGCGAGGAGGCCCAGACATTTTAGCAAGAGTCAAGGTAAGGAGCCTGAATGAGAATGAGAGAACCACTTATCTCTGATGTGTACCCCTCCCCCACAGTTACCCCAGCATAGCTCCCTCTCCAACTCTCTGGTTTCAGTCTCCCTTTTTGATAGGGCACGTGTGCTCCCCAGACAGACAGAGAGAGACAGAGAGACAGAAAGCAAGAAATCACCCCCCAGGGGGGATGGCCACATGGCAATCCCTTCTCCTCTGTTCTCCTCTTGGGATCTTGGGCATGCACGTACACACGCCTGGCATGAGTTTAAAGCCACTGGGTCTGGGACGTGAACCGTGGTCAACTACGTGGGAGTCCAGTGACATAGCCATTATGCTAACTGCTGGTCCCGGGGAAAATCAAATTTAACTTACTGAAGTAAATCTTTCACTAATTTGGTGTTTTTTGAGTGCATTGCATTTTCTCTGAAATATACTGAATTAATAAAAATTCCCAGATAAGAGGGTGCTATTTTCTGAATTAAAAAAATCTTAATTGATACTCATTATTAATAACACTCAATATTTGCCAATAAGTATGACAGGTACTTTCTATGTAGTATTTACATTTCAGTGGTCCTACAAAATAGGTTTGTCTTAGTTCAGACTGAATACCATAGACTGGATGACTTAAACAACAAACATTTATTTCTTGAAGTTCTGGAAGCTGAGAAGTACAAGATCAAGATGCCAACAGATTAAGTTTCTGGTGAGAGCTCCCTTGTGAACAGTCCTATTTTTGTTGTATCCTCATATAGTCAAGAGAGCACAGGTTTTTTGGTCTCTTATAAGGGCACTAATCCCTTGATAAGGGCACCACCCTCATGACATCAGCTAAACCTAATTATCACCTAAGACTCCACCCTCTAAAAACCACTGCATTGGGGGTTAGAATTTGAACATATGAATTTTGGAGGAACACAAACATTTAGTCCATAACAGGGTTTACTGTTATCTGCCACTCAGGTGGCAGATGCAGAACTTGCAATATTTTCATAGTCACAAGGTGGCAGGTAATAGAGTTAGGTTAAAATTCTGATCCAAATTTTCTAGGGCACATGCTGCTTTCTTACTGTCACCCTGAAATTGATCTTGTGTATCTTTATTGACTTTTCTCCCCACTACTGTAAACTGCATCTCAGCTGATTAAAAAAAAAAAAAAGAATGTTGTGTTCAAAGTACTGGATTGGAATATATATAGCAATAAGAATACTAAAATAAATAAGAGATTTGAATAACAAAAAGGAAATCATATTTGTTAACAATATGCACATCTACAAATGCAGTATCAGTTAATCTCAAAAGGTTGGAATCTCACAAAATCATCTAACTCAGCCCATTTCCTGCAGTGAGTAAATCTTTTAGAACAGAAGTTACCTAAAAGGAAATTCTGAAGGCCAGCCAGTAGCAACAGCTAAACACTGTGCAGAGGGAGGTGGACCATGATTGAAGTCCTGCTCCAGCAACCTGAAAAAAAACATGCAGGTAACATGTGCGTGCATGACCCAACCCTGATTGGAACCAAGCCCCATAGGGGGTCTCTCTCTCTCTCTCTCTCTCTCTCATATGCATCTACACATATCCTGTGGCATTAAAAAAAATTAAGTCTCGAGTGATGAAGAAAAAGAATAGGTCAGCGGACAGTGTACGTTTTGTCTGATAGCCACCTCCTATCCCAGACTTTCTGTTTCGTCCTTTAACTTCCCCATCTCCCCTTACTCTGGGGACACAGGCCTATTCTCTGTGAGATATGAAGTAGGGAGACTATTAAAAGAGTTTGCAGGGATGTGGCATTTCCCAGGAAGCCTTTCATTAGACATATAGGAGCCAAGATGAGGACCTGGATGAATGTTGGCAAAGGAGAACAACACTCAAGTATATGGGGTCATGCGGAGACATTTTTTAGATCCAGAGGACTAAGACAATACTGTTAGGCTTATGTTCATAGGAAGGTCTCAGCGACTTTGAGGTCCTTGCTGTGGAAGGTGAGGAGGTGGGAGAGGGTAGAGCCTATGGCTCTAACGGGTGTCAAGCGGAGAACACTCTCTGAGATGAACCACCCCAGAACAGAGGGGGGAGCCAGAGATACAGCCCTGCCTTCAGCTGTGCAGGGGTTCTTTTCCTTGGTTGTACATCAGATGGCGTTCATTTCCTCCTAGGGCATCTCCGGAACTTGAGAGACTTCCTGAGGCTGTTACCTTTGCGCCATCAGCAGCCTCAGTGCAATAGAGCGAGGAGGCCCAGACATTTTAGCAAGAGTCAAGGTAAGGAGCCTGAATGAGAATGAGAGAACCACTTATCTCTGATGTGTACCCCTCCCCCACAGTTACCCCAGCATAGCTCCCTCTCCAACTCTCTGGTTTCAGTCTCCCTTTTTGAGTTCCTAAACAGAATAATCAGGCAGAAATATGCGCTTATTTCTGACTCTAGGCCCCCAGAACTGTGTGGGCCTTGCTTGCTTAAAGGGGCCGCACTCCAGTTCCGCAGATAGAGAAGCAGGCTTACGCGAATAACTGTCTAGGCAGGGAACGGTAGACCAAAAGTCCCACCAATCTACTATTTGGAGCTCTCAGAGGACACAAACATAGCGTCGAGGATATGTGAGCATTTCTTTTCTATTTGATGATGTCAGGGACTTGAAGGTCTTGGATTATGGGAGTGGGATGGGGATCAGGGCAGAAGGACTATGCTCTTCAGGTAATCAAGAGTAGAATTCTGAGTGAATTCTGGGGGTTCCACCGGCTCCAAAAGGGTGAGGTGGCTCAGTCTGTCCCTGTGGTTGACCCTGGGAGCCCTCAGGAGGGGCTATCAAAGATAACCTTGGGAAGAAGAGTCTCAGGAATGTGAGAACATTGATCTGAAGGGAGAGTCTTCAAGTCTGCAAAGAAAAGCATCTCAGACAGACTCAGGAGTCAAGGTGAGGGCCCTGTGCCAGGATTGAGGGAACCCCCACCCCGCTGGCAACCTGGTAAACCTGTGTACTGGCAACATGATTCTCACTAATTTCCTCCCTATGGAATTGGGAATGGGGGGTGGGGGGTGGTTATTGGTGGTGGTAGGGATTTTATCTAAAAGGACTGGTCTAAGGTCTGCAGTAAGAGGATTTCTGGGAATTCCTAGGACTGAAGGTGAGTACCATGATGTCTGAGTTGAACACTAACAAGATGATAACATAGAATCCATCCCTTATTCTGAGTCTTGGGAGATCATAGGCAATGGAAACCACCCTCATATCTTCCTAGCAGTCTTAGGAGATGCTGACAGGAAGAAAGAAACCCCAGGCTATGACAAAAGTCAAAGGAATAGTTAAGAGAAACACCTACCACTGAATAGATAACAAAGAATCTGAGCCCTACCTTTGCATTTAACACTATGGGGCCCAGGGCAGGGCTGTCATGCAAAGGCTTTGCATCATTTCTTTATATCAAATCCAAGGAACATGAGATCTTTGGTGTGATGGTGCGGCCACCAGTTAGCAGAAGGGAGGTATATCAGGCACTATGTGGAGATCGGTTTAGTTCCCTGAGAGAATTGCATACTCAGGCAGCCCATGAAAGAAAAGGCTCCAATGGCTCTTAGTTGGGTTCTCTCTGACAAGTATGATAGACTGAGAAACTCCATCACTTCCTTCTCTGGGGTCTAGGGAAATGAGGGCTTTGGTTTGAGGTATCAACCTTAGAGTAGCAGAAGAGAGAGGCCCAGGACCTTCCAGCAATTGTCATGATGATTTTGAACTGAAAAAACTCACACTCTGAAACCAGAGGGCTCCCACTACCAGCCTTTGTTGTCACCCCAGTACACCCCATGCAGGACTGGCAGCCTAAGATTCACTCTAACTTTGTCCACGGGATTCTTGGAGCAGGCTGACCAGGAGTACCCAAGCTCTGCAGGTTCCTAGAGCAGTGCTCTCATGCAAAACTGAAGAAGTGGCCTTGGTTAAAGACCAAGTGGTCTCTTTCTGATGATGTGCTCACATCATTTCCTTCTTCTTCCAGGTGTCTACATCACCACTTGTTCTACTCACAATCTTTCCTACTGTCACTAATCTGAGTCATCATGCCTCAGGGTCAGAAGAGTAAGCTGCATACCCGGGAGAGATGTCGCCAGGCCAGAGGTGAGACTCAGGGCTCTGGGGATGCTCAGGCCACTTCGGCACCAGCAGAAGAACCCTCTACCTCCTCCTCTTCTCTTTGTGGAAGTGTTACTCAGAGCCTACCTGCTGCTGGGTCAGGTAGCCCACATGAGGAGCCTCAGAAAACACCATCTGTCACCACTGCTGCTGTAGGTACTTCTTCCACTAATGCTACTAAAGCTTCCAACAGCCAATATGAGAAAAAGAAAAGCACCTCTGAGACCCAACAATCCACCGAGAATTCATGCAGAGGCCTTCTGAATAGAAAGGCTCTGTTGTTGGAGCAGTTCCTGCTCTATAAGTATAAAATGAAACAGCGCATTAAGAAGGAAGACATGTTGAAGGTTATCAACCCAAAGTATGAAGACCAGTTTGCTGAGATCTTCAAGAAAGCCTCTCAGCACATTGAAGAAACCTTTGCAGTTGAAGTGAAAGAAATAGACTCAACCAGTCACTTATATGATCTTGTCAGCAAGCTGAAACTCCCCAACAATGGGAGGGTGCGTGCTGGCAGGGGATTACCGAAGACTGGTCTCCTGATGAATATCCTAGGTATGATCTTCATGAGGGGCAACTGTGCTAGTGAGGAAGACATCTGGAAATTTTTAAATATGATGAATGTATATGCTGGGAGGAAGCACTTCATCTTTGGAGAGCCCAGGAAGCTCATCACTCAAGATTTGGTTAGGCTCAAGTATCTGGTGTACCAACAAGTCCCCAACAGTGATCCTGCATGCTATGAATTCCTGTGGGGCCCAAGAGCCCATGAAGAAACGAGCAAGATGAAAGTCCTGGAGTTTTTGGCCAAGATCCATGGTACTGTCCCTACTTACTTCCCCTCCCAGTATGAAGAAGCTTTGCAAGATGAGGAAGAGAGAGCCCAAGCCAGAAATGCAGTCAACCCCGGCACTACTGCCCAGAGTGTAGTTTTCAGGGTCAGGGCCAAATGCCCAGCATATTCTTCCACCAGTTATTGAAGTCTAAGGGTATATTATGTAGATAAGGATCCCATGGTACATTAAGAGAGTTAATGCAATTTTTAAAAAAAGAGAAATGCAAAAGAAATACAAAAGAAGAAAAGCTAAAGCATGTTCAATTCTTGTTTGTAAGGCATCCCTTTTAGTCTTTTGTAAGATTGCTTTTAGTCATTTTTAAGACTAAAGTATCTGTACTTTACTGTTATTAGCTTATTCAACAAATAAGGAAAAATTAAATATTAATAAATTAGACTTCGTGTTTACTGACTATTTTTTTCCACCAAAAATTACATGTGCAAGTACTCTTTATAAAGCTCTGTAACAGTACTTAGGATGTTCAGATTAAGAAGATCCAGACCCTGTTGATAGAATTTTTGATCCTACAAGCTACAACCATACAAATAAGATGTTGAACTAACTTCTAAAAGTAAGGTGAAAAGAATGAGTGAGGATACAGGTGTTCCTTATTAGAGCAGTCAAGTGGAAATTTCCTGAGCCAAGGTGGTTTAGGGTTTTGGAAGACTGTAAGACCTTGGTAGGATATAACTTTTATTTTGGTGGGTGGTGGGCCACTTGAGGGTGTGGAAGCAGTGAGCAGAGGCCATATTCTCAGATAGTGTTCTTTTTTTTTTTTTTTTTGGAGAGGTTTTTGCTATAGGGCGCTCCCCAGACAGACAGAGAGAGACATAGAGACAGAAAGCGAGAAATCACTCCCCAGGGGGGATGGCCATGCTGCAATCCCTTCTCCTCCATTCTCCTCTTGGGATCTCGGGCATGCACGCACACGTGTCCGGCGTGAGTTTTAAGCCACCGGGTCCAGGACGCAAACTGCGGTCGATTACATGGGAGTCCAGCAACATAGCCATTATGCTAACTGTTGGTTCCCAGATAGTGTTCTTCAGAGAAACAAAACCCTGTGAGTTATTCTGCTTGGGCTGCTATGATGAAATATCATAGACAGGGTGGTGTAAACAACAGATGTATTTCTCATAGTTCTAGAGTCTAAATCCCATATCAACATATTAGCAGATTTGATTCCTGATGACGGTAACTAACATGCAACTAACAGAAATCGCCTTCTCTCTGTGTTCTTATATGGCAGAGAGAGAACAAGAGGACTCAAGGCTCTTCCTCTTCTTATAGGTACATTAATCCCAACATAGGGACCCCACCCTCATAACATCATCTAAACTTAATCACTTTTCAAAGGCCCCACTTTCATATACCATCACATTGGGTGCTAAGGCTTCAGTGTATGAATTTTTTTTTTGAGAGATTTTCACTGTAGGGCACGTGCGCTCACCAGACAGAGAGAGACACGGAGACAGAAAGTGAGAAATCACCCCCCAGGGGGGATGGTCACGCCGCAATCCCTTCTCCTCCATTCTCCTCTCGGAATCTTGGGCACACATGCACATGCGCCCGGTGTGAGTTCTAAGCCACCGGGTCCGGGATGCGAACCGCGGTCGACTACGTGGGAGCCCAGCGACATAGCCATTATGCTAACTGCTGGTTCCCAGTGTATGAATTTTTCATAATAGAACTCCTCCTACAATTTACTTTTGAACTCTGGGTAAACCAGGGACAAATGACCTGTGCAAGAAAGGAGGGTCCTGTGCTCTGGTTCCAGTGCAGATGAACACAATTTCCAAACTATTAATAGGTTTTCTATTCACATTTTCTCAATGGAGTTTCTGAGAAAGAAGCATGATGATCCCTTGGAAGATTCACAGAAGCCACTATGTTGGGTTGAACTGGGATACCTGCATTAAAAGGGCATTTATTTATTGATTTATTTATTGTTAGAGGGTGTGTGCACCTATGAGAGAGAGAGAGAGAGGAATTGAAAGCACTCCTCCCTCCCAATGAGGTGTGGTCATGCTGCAATCCTTTTTCCTCCACTTCTTCATCCTGCTAGGATCCTGGTTACACACTCATAGATACTTAACATGTTTTTCAAACCACCAGTCCAGGACTCAATTCACAGTCAGCCATGTGAGATCTGGATCCCACAGCACTTAGCCACTGCACTTTGGAGCCAGCCCTCAAAAGAGAATTTTAAAAGTTTATTTCTTCCATGAGAGAGAGTGAGAAAGCAAGCACCCCCTAATAGGGTCTTGACACTGTGATTCACCACCCCCAGCCTTCAGCCAGCCCCAGATCATGGGCACACATATGCCCTGAATACTCAGGGAGATCTCAAGACCTGAACCGGGAACCTTCCCATGCAAGATTGCCTGGCAGAACATTGTATTTTACTGCTGTGCCACTATCTGGCCCTTCTCCAGTATATTTGAATGCAGTTTGCAAAGTAATTACTTTATCCCTATCTTCCCAAATGATTTACTGAAAAACAAGGATTACACTCTTCTGAGTTGATCTTTGGAAACCAATTGGCTGGCACTCTGTTTTTCTTGGCCTGAGAGCTCTATTCCAATATATTATAATAACATAGTTTTTCAAATGCAATTTGGCAAGGGCTGAATTTTTGGTGGCTGTGAATTGAGTCACAATTGGTATAGTTCGAAGATACAGTTGCAAGCAAAAAAAGGGGAGAAAAACATAATAGTACTTGATCCGATATAAGACCACTAGAATTGAGTTACATCTAGCTCAGGACAACTGGCCCACACCCAAATTAAAATACCTTCTCTGGAGTATTTAGTTTTAAGTATTGGTTTTTACTCTTTTGATAGATTGGGTCCTAAATACCTCAGATTTCCTGAGAAGTTTTCAATAGCTTAAAAAAACTACAGAAGCTGTGGTGATTCTCAGTGAATGAATGTAAATTAATTAATTAATTAAAAATAATTAAAAATTAAAAAAAAGACCCAGAAGGGAAGGCAGCAGTGTGTACAATCAGCACCAGTAATGGTAATAATTTTCATTTAGTAAAGGTTTAATACATGAAGAAAAGTTGGCTAAGTGCTTTATATATATTATCTCTTTAACCTTTCCAACAGTCTTATTAAAGGAAGCTCATTTTACTGAGGAAGAACCTAAGACTCAAGAAGCTCAAGAAATTTCCTCAAGATCACATAGCCAGGAGGCAACAAAGAACAGTACAAATTTGTGTAGGTTTCAAACTTTCTCCACTCCTCCCAGTCTGGAGTGGGCCTTGTGTCTTGTCTTTAACACTTGTCCATTATTCATATCTTTCATGACATAAAAAGGCCTTTGTAGCCAGTGTTCCAAAAACAGGCCTAAAGAGAGTAGGCAAAAGGTAAATAAATGTAAATATATATAAAAAAACCCCCACAATTTCAGGATTGTCATTTGGATGTGTTATTACTTAGGAGCTTCCTGTTTCTGCACCAGGGCTCCTTGAAGGCTGGCACTGTTCAGACAGTTGTATTTTTATCCATATCTAGCATCCTTCACCTTAGTCATCCCAGTGGACTTTTCTGTCAAATTATGTATCTTGACCCTGCTAACTAGTGATACACAGCCCCTGACATTGCTTACCATGGGGGAAAAAAAAATCAGACTCAACTGTCTTCCTCCTGATTCAGGTTTCCTACTCTCTGTAGGTTATCCTTACCTATCCCATCCCAATACTAATAGCCCCATTCAATGGGAAAGTTCACTTTGGAGAGTGAACTTTTTTTTTTTTTTTTTTTTTTTT